CGCAGGCAGTGACTAAGGGCCACTGGAATGGGAATCCACGGGTGTTGACCTCCAAAACCTGAGTTCTGGGTGCCCACCCAGGGACCCCAGGTCACTTCACGACCTGCTGACGTCAGGACTCATGGGTTCTGGACTCTGTGCCTGGAGCCCTCCCCTGGTTCCAACTGGACCCTGGGAAGCACCATGCAGGGCTTCCCTCAGGACGGAGGGTGGGGGACTCACCCAGGAAATCCAGGGTCATCACGTGACCACAGACGGACGTCATCTTGAAGCGGACTGGCTGGCCGGCAAAGGTCCCTGCGTACTCGTGCACTGAGCACGTGCCATTCAGCCCTTTGTGTGAGGACATGTTCCCTGCAGAGAAGCACAGTGAGGGCTGCTCCACGAGCTGCAGCTGCCTCTCGGAGGACCAGCCCCTCCCCCAGAGCAGTCAGTGACGACAGTCCTCGGGCCGCTGCGGGGAACCAGGTGCCGAGCTCTCACGGGTCACGGGAGAACACCACTGGTAACCAACCAGCACAGAGCGCCCACCACACAGAGCCCCGGGGGGCTGGGGGCCGGGAGCAGCCTCTGAACTCTCAAGAGCAGACCCTCGCGGCGCTTTCTCTGCGTTTCTGTGTTCACTTTGATTTGATTTCTGCCTCGCTTCTCTCAACTGTACTCAAGTCCCCAGGAGGTCCCCCACTGTACTAACTCCTAGTTAGTGAATCCCACAGTGTCGTCTCACGGTCCCCGATGGCCCCGCGGCCACACTTTCTCAGCCTCTGGGACCAAGCACTGCTCTGGGGTCCACCCTCTTCAGACCAGGACTTCTTAGCCCAGTGTCTCAGGGTCTCTTCCTCCTTCAGCCTTGGGAGCAAGGGGAGGTCGGGGTGGACGTATGCCATTTCTGGGTTCCCAGCATCCAAACACCCCTCCTCTTTGGAGGGAATTCAGAGACAGGGGGGAAGCAGCACCGATCACCTCAGTGGCCAGAGTGGGGGTGAGGGCAGATGCGCCGTTTCCCAGTGCTCTGCTGTCCTGGGAGGGCCGTGGCCAAGGCTCAGCTAGCGGCGGCTCTGGAGTGGCATGAGGCTCTGGGCCAGCTGCCGCAGTCAGGGGTCAAGGGGAGTAGCAAGGCTCTCTGGTGATGATGCCTGTGGCAGGGCCTTATCAGACTTAGACCGGGGTGTGGCCTGGCTACGTCTTCCTCCTTCCAGTAAATTCCCTTTCGGTGTAAGTGACCAGGGCTGGTTCCGGCGGCTTGTGACCAACAACCCTGGCCAGCACAGCCCTCTCCCCGTGGCCTGTCTGCACCTGCTGCTACTGTGAATAGTGCCTGTGCCTTCTGGGAGCCCCAGCCCTGGCTCATGCTGGCTGCGGCAGTAAACGCATCCCACAGTGACCAACACGAGGTGCTTCGTGAATGCCTGCTGTCCTGACCAGAGTCTACTCCAGTGGGCTGGAGTCACACTTTGGGAAAAGAAAGAAGCGACGTGTAAAATGGGAATGACCACGCTTACAGAGCTAAGCCAGAGAGACACCAGGGCTGGCCTTCCCTACCTCGAGAGAGGATTTTGGCAATGGACTGGGCCAAAGATGGCTTTTCTGCAACCATGAGCACGGTCTTCATCTTGGTCTTCAAGTTGGCGCCAGTTTCAGGGAAATGGCGATGAAGAAGTTCAGCAGCCCAACACTATTATCGATGCTGACTCCTAAAGAGAAGAAAAGACACACAGAAAATAGCAATGCTTCCAATGGAACCTATACTACTTGCTAACAAGGAAACTCACTTTAAAAAAACAAAAAAAGCACCCAGCTGGTGTGGCTCAGTGGTTGAGCATCGACCTATGAACCAGGTGGTCACAGTTTGATTCCTGGTCAAGGCACATGGCCAGGTTTTGGGCTGGACCTCCAGTAGGTAGTGTGCAGGAGGCAGCCGATCAATGATTCTCTCTCATCATTGATATTTATCTCTCTCTCTCTTCCTCTCTGAAATCAATCTATATAAAAGTCTAATATGCTAAGTGTCCTTCCCTCCTACCGGGTAATGACATCATCATGTAGCAACGCCCAGCTTCCTCTCCCTAGCAACGACTAGCCTCCTTGCAGTTTCTTCAGCCCAGGAACACTTGCTTTATAGCCAGGTAGAAACAATTTACACTGTAATCAAATGTCTGTGAAGCATTTCCCGTGCCTCCTCTCATTTGATCCTCACAGAAGTCCTGGAGTAGGTAGAGAGGAGACTCGGTGGAATCCTATTTTTTTTCCATTAGCCAGAAAACAGAGATTTAGAAAGCTTAGAAACTTGACCCGACTGAAAAGAATTAAGAAATGGTGGACCTTGAAAATGACTTCAGGTTTTCTCACTGCACAGAATATAGTCAAACACTGCTGCAGTTAAATATTTTACCCTTTGTTCTCCCTGCATGATCTATAATAATCATCTGTTTTGTGTTGATATTTACTGCTGTGTTGCTGACAAGTACCTGAAAGAGAAGTTGGGGTGCTTCACTGGGCTGGAAGAAGTTTAGTTACATCAGAAAGTAGGTCTAAATAAGCAAGTTTGTTCTATAAAAAGCCAAGTTGACTCGCGCATGTGCGATACATATAAAGCTCTCGCTGGCACCAATCGCACGGGTATGTTTTGATCTGTCCTTGTCAATTGTGAATTTGGTTGACACTTCTATTATAGAGAAAGGGTGAATAGCGATATTAAAATATTTCTTCTAATTAATTTCCTTTCAATGTGCACGAATTCGTGCACTGGGCCACAAGTAAAAATATATTTGAAAAAAGCAAAGCCCAGCCCTAGCTGACTTGGCTCAGTGGCTAAAGCGTGGGCCTGCTGACCAAAGCATCCCGGGTTTGCTTCAGGTCAAGGGCATGTACCTTGGATGCAGGCTCCTCCCCAGCCCAGGCCCTGGTCAGGGCACATGCAGGAGGCAACCAATTGATGTGTTTCTCTCACATCGATGCTTCTCTCTGTCTTTCCTCTCTCTTCCACTCTCTCTCAAATCAATGGAAAAATATCCTCGGGTGAGGATTTAAAAAAAAAAAAAAAATCAAACTCCAGTCAAGACTGTGCAATTGCTAATCCATTTCTGACATGTGCCAATCTTCAGCAGCTCTGGCTCCAAGCAGGGGTGGGGAACGTCCAGCCCATGGGCCATATATGGCCCTCGAAATCATTTGGTCCAGCCCTGCTAAGGCATTAGGGGTGAGTTAATTAAATGTTTGACCAAATATAGCAGGCTAGTTTTTAAGTTGATCATTTGTATGGCCCACAAATGATGTTATAAATATCCAAATGGCCCTTGGCAGAAAAACGGTTCCTCACTCCTGCTCTAAAGAAACACATACTGTAATTCAACAGTTTATACCTCAATACTGCATAAGCACTTTGTAATGTTCTGAGTGTCACTGTTTTATTAGGAATGTGAAGTCCTGGGGAAAGGGCATTGGTGATGAGCTGGTAAAGTCATCTCAAGTAGGAAGAACAAATTAAGACTCAGAGAAAGGATTTTCTAAAGATAACCAAGGAAGTTGGTTGAGATGGGGTGAAACTCATGCTTCCTTACTTCCAGCTGGGAACATTTTTTATTTTTATTTTTTTAAAATATATTTTATTGATTTTTTTACAGAGAGGAAGGGAGAAGGATAGAGAGTTAGAAACATCCATGAGAGAGAAACATCGACCAGCTGCCTCCTGCACACTCTCTACTGGGGATGTGCCCGCAACCAAGGTACATGCCCTTGGCTGGAATTGAATCTGGGACTCTTCAGTCCGCAGGCCGACGCTCTATTCACTGAGTCAAACCGGTTAGGGCATGGGAACATTTTTTTAAAACTACATCAGGTTCCTTCCAACTCTTAAAAGATTTCAACAGTCGCAACTGTGATTAATTTTCTGTGATTAATCGTAGGGCTTCCCTATTTTTCCATTAAGGCACATCTCCAATTTCAAAACGGAAGCCAATTAGAACAAAAGCTCAAAGCAATGGTTTGCAGACTTCATTTATATACCATCCTAATGCTTTTTAAAAATATATATTTTTTAATTTAATTCAAAGAGGAAGGGATAGGGAGAGGGATAGAAACATCAATGATGAGAGAGAATCATTGATCGGCTGCCTCCTGCACACCCCCTACCAGGGATCGAGCCCACAACCCGGGCATGTGCCCTTGACTGGAATCGAACCCAGGACCCTGCAGTCCACAGGCCGATGCTCTATCCACTGAGCCCAACCAGCTAGGGCTACTGTCCTAACGCTTTTGCCTTACTGGCAAAACATTATTATTCACTTAAGTTTTGCTTTTTTTTTTTTAAAGTTTAAATATATACAAAAAGGGAAATTTTATAGCCCCATAGGAACTAACGGCTGCAATCAATGGCCAGAACTAGGTTTTTCCCAGTAACCTACAGCATATCAAGTTTAATTTGTTGCCTGCCAGAGCTCTGAGCCTGATGCTCGTCCTTTTATTTTAAAAGGGGAGATTAGCAAGTGCTAAGGGGGTGTTGACAGCAAACCCTCCAACTTGCAGCTGTAATTAGAAGGGCTGACAGTACAAGGGAGTAGCGGGCTAGCCTGTTATTACCCCGTCAGCTCTCACCGGCAATCCACAATGGCAGGTGTCCTCTGGGAGACACCGTTTTAGAGAAAGTCTTTTCCGATCAGCGTCTTACAGACACGGGGACGCAGCTGGGGAGCGAAGGCCTAGCAGTGAGCGGTCTGAACAGCAGTCAGAGCCCTAGGACTTCCCACCTTGGCAACCTCACCAAACACCTATGGGGTCAGAAACAGAGGGAAAGGCACACCATGTCCTGCGCTCCTTCTCTGCGCCAGGCACACGATTGCTACACACACGTGATTTACTCTTGCCAACGACTCTACGAGGCTGGCGGTGTCATTTCTTTAAAGGACGAGGACACTGCGGTTGAGGCTGGTGTCCGCTGACCTTTGCAAAGGCTCTCGGAGGCCCAGGGCTCACTGGCCATGCGTCCACATCGGCCTGACTTCCCACGCGCTGTCCCCAAAGGCGGAGTGATAAAAAGGGAAGACGAGGCCGCTGCCTTCCTTCGCCCCGGATTCTAGTCAATGTGTTCGAGTTCGGGTGCTCTCCTGCATGCGGTGAGCGCCTCCGGGGACCACGGGCGCCCTCAAGACTGAGGGGGGGGGGGGCCCAGGTGGTCCCGGGTAGAACCTGCCTTTGAGTGGAGCCCAGCCGACCCGGGCCCGACCGCTGCACGGCAGACCCAACCTAAGGAACCGCAGGCGGGTTCCACCAAGAAGATAAGGAACCGCAGCGCCTGCTCCTCCAGGCACCAGGCTAAACGCTGGCCCAGCGCCACCTCCCGGACCCCCACAACAAGCCCTGGGGTAGGGGGTCCACCCGTCCAGGGAAGCGGCGGGGAGAACCCCAAGCGTCCGGCCCGGGACGCTACCCCCAGCCGCGGGGCCGGGGCCCCTCGGTGCCCGGCCGGCATGCACGGAACGTGCTCAACAAAGGCCCGCGCCTCCCACGTCCCTGAGCCGCCGAGCGCAGCGCCCGCCGCCCGCCTCTCACCCGCAGCCCCGAGCGGCTGCCGCTTCAGTCCCGCTCCCCCGGCGGCCACTGGCAACCCCTACTTCCGGGTCCGGCGGCTGCTGGCGCCCCTGCGTCTGCCCTCCGGCACCCGCACGTCTCCCTCCCTGGGTTCCGTGCTCTGTGCGTTCCGGGCCCGGGGGGTGGTCCTGGACAACGCAGATCTCCTGGCGGTCCTCATTCTCTCCCGCCGTGGGGAAGCAATAATGACAATAATCATTACAATGATTATGAACAAACTGGTTGATAAGCATGAAAACATACATGCTGTTAATAATTACAATCATAAAAGCGACACGTGTGTGTAGCAGGCTTCCTTCAGTACTATAAACATTTGTGGAATGAATGAATGAACTGTGTAAAATATATCTGGAAGATGAATTGGAAAAGAAAAGTAATTTTTTGTGTAAGAGCACTAGGGTTATGTAAAAATTAAAATAACTTGCAAGACCATATTTTAATTATATTTTGAACAGTAGCATATACACATTTCCTTTGGGCCCAGTAGACACTTTCCCAACTTGCTTTTATTGGAATACTAGCCCTGAAAGATGATCTAGAACAGTGGTTCTCAACCTGTGGGTCGCGACCCCTTTGGCGGTCGAACGACCCTTTCACAGGGGTCGCCTATGACCATCCTGCATATCAGATATTTACATTATGATTCATAACAGTAGCAACATTACAGTTATGAAGTAGCAGCGAAAATAACTTTATGGTTGGGTCACACTGATCTAGAAGAAAAAAAAGTTCAATAGTCAAACTAAGGTTGAGAAATGCCAAAAATTAAGAGTCACATGAGATTTCCCTTTCAAAACAGAACTTCTGATTCTGAACCCCCTCCTTGGCAGGCTCTCTATCTCCAAAACTGCAACTCCATCTTCCCTGTTGCTCAAAACCTATGGCTTGGAAGCATTCTGGATTCCCCCTTCTCTCACTTGTTTGTTATCCATCACTGTCTTAAAAATGTATCTGAGATCCAATCAATTCCCTCTGCCTCGGCTGCCACCACACTGATCCCCTGGCCTCCACCCTGCCACCCTAAGATCTGTTCTCCACACAGCCCCCAGGTGTATCTAGTGGCCATGGCTTAGGTTGGGTCTAAGTGGTGCAACCCGTTGGCAGAGAAGCAAAACCAGAACCCCACCGCTCATTTAATCCAGCTCAGGAGTTCGTTCTGCGTAGCAGGAGGAGGCCTGAGGGTCTCAAGAGTGTTCTCAGCGTGCCAGCGCTCTCTGCCCCCAGAGCCCTGCGGCTGAGCCCCCTATACAGGCCTCCCAGGGAACGGCGGGTCAGTCCCCCTGTGGAACCGTAGGTTGACTGTGGTGGAGAGGAGCGGTCAGCAGGGCTGGGGCAGGGCCTGGGTTGGACCGCGGTGTGGGGGAGAGTTGCTCTAGGATTGTGGGTATCAAGTGCTAGGAGTGTGGAAGGGAACAGTGTCTCACTCACCATCAGGGCCCAACATTTCCTGTTGCTCAGAGCAGGTGTTTCACCACCTTCAGGATGCGTCCTCTTCCCAGTTCACCAGGCATGTAAATTTGGACACGAATCTTGTTTCTGCAGGGCTCGGCTTTCTCAAGGGGACGTTGAAGTCGCTCTCCCTCAGGGACGCAAGCTTGCAGGCTGACCTCCTGGGCACTGGGGTGTGAGCTTCCAGCAGGTGTTTCCTCCCTGAATGCTTCTATGAGGACAAGGCCAGAGCCACAAAAGCCACCATGGGACCATTCCCCTAACTGATGCTGAAACCCCAAGAAAGTTTGGGATGACGGTAGCTGGAACTGGGTGTGCAATGGCCCCACCCCTGGGAGGGCGGAGGAGGAGGAGGCTGCCCAGACCCCAGAGAGCGCCAGGAGCGGTGGCTGCACAGTTCAGGAGGCAGAGCTCGGCACGTCTGCAACATGTCCTGGGCTCCTGTCCTGCTGGCCCTCCTTGCCTACCTCACAGGTGAGAACTCCCCAGAGCTCACGGCCGCTGGCCCCTTCCCTTGCCCTGCCCTGCCCCGGGTGTCCATGTTCTTCTGTGTCCCCAGGTTGTGGTCCTCAGCCCATGCTGGATCAGCCACCTTCTGTGTCCTCGCCCCTCGGAACCACAATCCGTCTGGCCTGCACGTTGAGCAGGGACCATGATGTCAGCATGTATAGCATCTACTGGTACCAGCAGAGGCCTGGACACCCTCCCAGATTCTTGCTGAGATATTTCTCTCATTCAAACAAGAGACAGGGCCCCAAGGTCCCTCCACGCTTCTCCGGATCCAAAGATGTGGCCGAGAACACGGGGTATTTGAGCATCTCTGGGCTGCAGCCTGAGGATGAGGCTATGTACTACTGTGCTGTGGGCACCCAGAGCTTGGAGAGGGATAAGATGGAGATGGAGGACGAGGAAGAAAAGGCGCCTGCTGCTTCAGTGTCCCAGGCACCCCAGACACACTCACCGTGAACTGAGGACAGAAGGGTGCTCATCGCCACAGAGAGGGCGCGCATCGCCAGAGAGGGCGCGCATCGCCACAGAGAGGGCGAGGAGGAGGGTGGGCTGTAGGTTGTGCAGAGCGAAGGAGTCGCTCCTTGTCCAGCTGGGCCCCCATTGGAGGCTGGATTGGGGGATTAAAGCTGCTTGTGTCTTGGGAACTTGTTTGGTCTGACTGGTGTGCTGAATTATACTAAGGTGGCCCCAGCAGCTCTGTGTAAGGTCAAATGGGTGGGACGCACCCAAGAACCAACAAAGGTACGAAGAGACAGACTCCTGTGGGTTATGGGGGCAGGGGGCTGACATAGCACCTTTGGAGGGACTCTCTGGCCAAGGACAGGACGCTCTGCTGTCACCTGGTTATTTGCAGAAGTTACAGAGTAAGCCAGCTTAGAGAGGCCTTTATTGGGCCTCTGGGGAGAGTGGATGCTGAGTGATAGGTCTAGACATTGCTATTGGCATTGGGGCCAGGCTGTCCTGTGCACTGTAGGAAGTTGAGCAGCATCCCTGGCCTCTGCCCACTAAATGCCAGTCCCTGCGCCTTCACGCCCCTGGTTCTGACAACAAAAATGTCTCCAGGCGTTGCCAGATGTCCCCAGCGTGGCAAAACCACTGCGGTTGAGAACCACTGGCCAGGGTGAGAGAAATGCGTGTACTCTTCTGTGCAGGAGAACAGCAGGGCTGGCAATTATATTTTCTGTAAAGGGCCAGGTAGTAAAATAATTTTGGGTTTCCGGGCCAATGACTATACATTCTCTCAGCTACTGAATTCTGTCCTGATAGCACGAAAGCAGCCACAGACAATATGTAAACAAGTACACATGGCCTTTCCTATTCAGCTTCATTCACAGAAGCAGGCGGGGCTGGGCCGGATATGGCACTTGGGCCACAGTTTGCCAACCTCTGTTCCAGAGAAGCACCCCAGTTCCTGCCTCCAGGTTTTAAACAAGCCATGCTTGGTATGGTGATTGAGGTCACCCTCAAATCCTCCTGCCTGACGGTCCCAGGGATGCTAAACCTCTGGACCCACCAAAGGACCTGGAGGCAGGAGGGGCGCGGGCTCCCCAATTAGCTTGTTGGGTGACGAGGGAACAGGTGAGCTCCTGCAACCCTGACCCACAGCGCAGCACCCTGAGCCCCTGGGTGGTGGGTCACATCCTATGCACAGAGAGGTGCCAGGCACACCATCTCCTCTGTGCCCCCAGACTTGGCTGAGAACGCCCACTTATCATGGCTAAAATGACCCGGGGGCAGGGGATGCCCCAGAAAGGCAGGCACAGGTTCCTGAGTCTCTTTTGTAAAACAATGGCCCCAACTCATAGCCTATTTCAGGTGCCCTTTGAACTCTCACTTCCTCAAATGCACAGAATTCTTTCTGCATCAGGCCTTTGTTCCTGAAGAGGAGACTCCAGGCTCATGTTTTTGGTTTTGGGTGGTGTTTTTTTATGGAAGAGAAAGTTTATTTAGAAAGTCACAGAGGTAGAAGTGAGTTGTAGAAACAATGGGCTCAAAAACAAATTACAGCAAAAGAAGGGCCCTTGGACTTCAGGAGAGAGAGAGAGAGAGAGAGAGAGAGAGAGAGAGAGATGTGAGAGGGGATGGGGGAGCAGCAGAAGAGGGAGCGCTCTGAAAGGGATGAGTGATCTGGAGGGGGAGTGAAGAGAGCGCGTAGGAGAAAAGGGTGAATGGCAGGGGCGAAAGGAATGCCCCTGACATCGACTCACTCATAGCAGAGAGATTTCTAGACCTAATATTTTTGTTGATTTTTAGAGAGGAAGGAAGGGAGACAGAGAGAGAGAAACATGGATCAGTTGCCTCCCATACGCATCCTGACCAGGGATCATACCCTCAACCTAGGTAACCCACAACCTAGGTATGTGCTCTGACCTGAATCCAACCCACAACCTTCTGGTGTATGGGACCACCTCCAACCACTGAGCCAACCAGCCAGGGCAGGCTCATGTTTTTAAAGGCCAGGCAGGTGGTCCCAAAGGACCCGTCTCTGCCTGTAACCTGCCCTTCTTCGTTCATCCTTCGTCATTCCGGGATTCCATGCTACGACAATAGACCCAGAGAACCAGCGTTGTACTGGCCTCCTCCATCATCTTAATGCCCGTGCCCAACCAGACTCCTGAGGGGCCAGACCCTGGCCTCAGGCCTCAGGCCAGGCAGAGTGTGAGTCTTAGCTCCGGTCAGCCTTGGCAGGGTCAGTTGAATTCTAGGCCAGCATTTCCAATGTTGTATATAAAGAGTATTATAATAGCACCCATAAATTCATATAAAGTGCTTACCTGGGCTTAACTATAATGGGTGCTCAATGAAATAGTAGTATCATTACTTCTTCATTAGTCACCAGGCCTGGCCTTCTCCCTAGTCCAATCCCCTCGTTATTCCCAGATCCAGCCTTGCCTGCACCCCTTCTCTCTAACCTTGGATTGTCTCCCGCTCTCAACAGCACGTACGCAAGCCATTTCTGTCACTTCCAATTCCCTGCTGGCTACATTTTTTTAAAGGAAACAGGTGAAATTAGTTTTACCCCAATATATCCCAGATACTGTCATTTCAACATGCAATCAATATAAAATTAGTTATAAGATGGTTTAAACTCTTTCTTTTCAATCTTCAAAATCCAGTGTGTATTTTACACTGTGGTTCATCTCCGTTGGGAGCAGCCACGTTCCCAGGGAGTACAGGGACAGGACAGGACAGGTTGGAGGAAGAAAATTCAGACTCCTTATCATGACACAGCCTTTGGAGGTGGCCCAGCTCTGAACCAAGTCCCATGTCTTGTGTGTCCCCCCCTGCCCCCCCCCCCACTGTCTGTGTCATATTAAACCACCTGCACTTGACCCAACACTTGCTTCTCTTGGTTGCCTCCAAACCTTTGCTCAGGGTGTTTTCTTGCTGCCCCTTGTCAGTGACCTCCAGCTAGCTGCACGGACTCAGGGTTCCACCATGACCTCAAATCTCACTCCTTGGGCAAGATTCCCCTGACCTGTTTATTCAGTTACTGACTTCCTGCGATCTGCAGACATGTGTTTTCCTAACTATGTTTAGCACCTGCCACACAGCTCTACGTTTATTTTGCAAGTCTCTCTCCTCCACAAAACTGCACATTCTCAGTGGGCAAGATCCGTTCATCTCATTGTATGTGTGATGGACGCTAGGAGATAATGGAGTTGGGTGAAGAGATGAAGAAGTAAACGCATGCATAACTGAATGAAGCCGTGGCTTCCAAAGACCCTGGCATTCCAGGATCCCATTAGATGGCTGGGGTCATTGTGATTCCCTAAGAAGGGAAAGCTCTGTCACCATTCTCTCTCTCTCTCTCTCTCTCTCTCTCCTCTCTCTCTCTCTCTCTCTCTCTCTCTCTCTCTCTCTCTCTCTCTCTCTCTCACACACACACACACACACACACACACACCCCTTCTGATGCCTGGTATGTGACACCGGTGATTAGAGTCAGCAACCAGAAGTGGTGAGGAAAGGAAAAGCTTGAAATAGACTAATGCAGGGACAGGAACACTTGGGATACGTTCTGTATTGGTAATGGAGACACGAGATATTGGAGAAGGTGGGATTCCCAGACTGTTGGGATCTGCTGCCTGGCATAGCAAAGTGTCAGCGGGGCTCCTGACTGTGATACGGAACAAGAGTGTGGGGTGCTAAGAGCTGTGGTTTGTGCATATAAAGGCTTGATGGGGCTCCCAAGTTTTACACAGAAACATAGAACCCAATGGGCTCGGACACGTCAGCAGTGGTGCTAAAGACGAGGGACCCAAACTTTCTGACCTGAGTTGGACTCTGAGACCCCTGGGAGGGTATCTGAGGAAGAACCAGGGGCCCGCGGAGGATGGAGCATGCCGATCAGATGGAGGGAAATGCCAGGGCCCCCCCGTGCCTACCCAAGGCCAGTGTGGTTGTGACATGATTTGGCAAGATGAGCTACGGGAGGTGGCCCCACGGAAAGAGGGAGGGTGGAATTAACACGTGGAGGCCCGTTGGGACACAAAGAGCTCTGGCATTTCATCCTAAGTCGCATGTTTGTGACGTAGGCACAACACTCAAATCCATTGGTTCAATGTGGGATGCAAAATGGGGGTATTTTCCTTCTAGCATCTCTGCTTCACTTATTAACTAGAAAACTTCTACAAAGAACACTTCCACTCATCAATGATTTAGTCGCCTGAGGGACTGCTTCTATAGCAAAGGCAAGATCAGTGTTTGATGTTTTTCTTCTTTATTTACCAACTATCAAAATAACAAGTCAGTGTGCCAGCATCACACAACTTGAGTTTGTTAGTATCACTAGAAGTGCATGGGTATAAGCATATCTGAGGTATTTAAATCCATGGCAATTATTATAAGTAGTCTATCTTTGGCCAGTGCAAGCCCTGTAAAATTGGTCTCCAACCAAGAACATGTTGATGTGTCAAAAATAGTATATCCCGGCCGGCGTGGCTCAGTGGTTGGTCACGGTTCGATTCCCCTTCAGGGCACATGCCTGGCTGTGGGCTTGATCCCCATTAGGGTGTGTGCAGGAGGCAGCCAATCAATGATTCTCTCTCATTATTTATATGTCTATCTTTCTCTCTCAAACCAATAAAAACATATGTTTTTTTTCATTTTTAAAAATAACAGTAGCAGAATTTATATATATATATATATACTGTGACCAGCCAAGTTGACACATAAAATTAACCATCACACTGGCAGCTACATCATCACCCTCATGTTGAATGAAACCTCTTGGCTTTGTAGACGTTTTGAACCTTCCAAAATAGCAGCCACTACCCCAAAGACAGCTCAGGAGCCATCCTGCAGGCCCAGTGACCCTGAGAACCTGGGATTTTCTAGAAAATTTGCACCTGGGACCTCGGGAAGGTGGTCCACGTGCCTGCTCCGATGATGGCCTGAGAGAGAAGAGTCCATGGTGGCTGCAGCGAAGACTCAGGCCTGTAGGGTGGAGAGTGAGCAGGGGAGTGACCAGCAGGAGGCTGGGGGAGGGAGGGTGCCCTTTGACACGGAGCAGGGCAGAAGTGACTGGACAGGGACACACCCCCTGCTCCAGGAGAGAAGGCAGGACAGGGCACAGAGGAGCCAGGGTTGGAGGAAACAGGCCTGGGCAGCCAGGCTGCAGCTGCACCACCTGGGCAGGCCCAGCCCAGCCCGGCCCTCAGTGTCCAGCCAGGTCTGGATTCCTGACCGTGGCCACCTCAACAGGATGTGGTTTCCAGCAGCCGTTGCCCAGAGGCTGAGGCAGGTAGAGGGACCGAGGTGGAGGGAGCAGCTGGGGTCCCTGCACTTAGAGACAGTCCTTTCTCCTCTCTGAGACCTGGGGCTGTCCCCGGAGGAACCCCCACTTCTGCGTCCTGGGCACTGGCAAGTGTCACACTTACACGGGGGTTCTGGGATGGAGTGGCTTCAGCTTGGACCCCTGGGACAGCTCCCCAGGGGAGCCCAGGTCAGAGGCACAAAGGACTAAGCACCTCAAAAGGGAGAAGCTGGACTGGATGAGGGGCGTCCCAGGGGTTCCTCCATACCCCGAGACATCAGCCGGTCAGTCAGTTACAGCGCCGTGACCATGGCTAGACAAACACCAGCAGGAGGTCTGGGTGGCCCAACTCCACCAGGGCAGGTGGCATCCATGAAATCCACTCTGGGGCCCTGGGAAGAGCGTCAGGGAGATGGACACGCCATGGGCGTGGCGCTGCCCAGGACACACTGGGTCTGCGGGGACTGGGACACAGGCTCTGAAGCAAAGGTGGTTGCAAACATGAGCTGGATGTGGCGCACCGCTTTTATAATCTTTATAATCACATCACAATCCCCGACTTGAACATTGGCTTCTTGCTAAACCAATACCTGTTTCCTCCCCTGTCACCACTACCGCCCAGGTCTGGTCAGAAGAGGAGCCCCAGGCCCAGGCCACAGCTGAACTCAGGTGACCCCTGGCCCACCGACGCTGGGCAGGAGCAGGTGTGCCCCACACAAGGCCCCATGGGCCCAGCCAGGCTGGCAGCTGTGGTGGGGGCAGTTGAACCCTGGATCCTGACCACAGCATGGCAGTTGGCAGATGCCCCGCTGGGAGAGACCCTCAGGAGTAACGGCCATGGCCCTGGAGGGGGCGGGGCACTGGGGGCAGCGACCAGAAAAGGCCCGGGCGCACTGGGACAGTCACTGTCAGCGAGAGGGACAGAGGCACCTGCCAACCTAACCCTCCCCACTGGACGCGTACGCCAGCAGGTCAGCCAGGGGTGCCTTTGACCCTGAGCGCAGATGAGGCCCAGAATAGGGCCGGTGGGCTATGAGGCCCGCAGAGGGCAGAGCCCTGGCTTCAGGCAGCACTGGCCCCTGATGCTGCTGGGCCTGGCTGTGGGCGCCCATGGCCTGCTGTCCTCGACCACGGCACCTCACAGCAGGGCCCCAAGCTCTGGAGCCCCGACAAGGAGCAGCCCTAGGAGCCTGTGGGGAAGGTAAGGGGCGGAGTGAGTCATGTGGGGGACCTGAGGGTCTCTGAGCCCAAACTAAGAGTAGGGGACAGAGCGTGGCAATGAGGGGCAAGGGGAGAGAAGGGAGGGTCGGCTGGAGAGCAGGGGCCTGGGCAGATGCTGGCAGAGTTGACCTTTTGTTCAGTGTGGATTTTTTTGCATTGATTTTTACTTTTTAATATTTTATTGAAATGTATTTATCTACTTTACTGGGGGTTTTGGCACCCCTTAAATTTTGCACCCAAGACTAGTGCCTCACCTGGTCTTCTGGGTGGGGCAGAAATAAAGACAGGGGCGGGACGTCCCCGCGGGTGTGGGTGCTGTTGTCCCAGGGAGCCGGGCCTCCTTCATACAGTGCGATTGAAACTTCGTGGCCCATGCACAGAAGCCAGTATTTTGTAGAAGAGCCACACTCAATGGGCCAAAGAACTGTATGTGGCTCTCAAGCCGCGGTTTGCCGAGCCGCAGTTTGCCGACCACTGTAGCCAATGAGCCACATTCTCACTCTCCCCCTCTGAGTAGGCGTCACTCCCTGGAGCAGGGGGCACAGACCCTGGCTGATGCCGTGAGGTGGGGGTACCTTCCCTGGTGTCCTCGGGTCACCAGGCCCTGAACCAAAGATCCTCAGCCTGGGCTGCCTCTTGGGACTGTCCTCCCAGGGGCCCACGCCCACCCAGGACACAGACACCTCCGTGGGAAAGGCCTAGGGTGAGGGCTTTTGAGGGCCTTGGTCTGTTGCACCTTGATGTGTGGCCCCAGCCCCTCCTCTGTGTGTGGTGGGAAGTCCTGGACCAAGGGCTGAGCATCTGGAACCACTTAAGAGAATCAGTGGCACAATGACACCCTCATCCTGGGCAGCAGTCATTTTAGGGACAGAACCTCCCTCAAATGGCCCCACAGGGCGATCCCGCTGTCATCCAATTCACAGATGAGGATGGAAGCTCAGAGAGGTGAGGTGACCTGCCCAAAGTCACAGCTGGTGCAGACTCCAGGGCCCACGCTCAAGGCCTCCGGCCATCCCCATCTCCAGCCCCTAAACTGGGCTGACAAGTCCACCTCTCCGGGCCTCAGTTTCCCCCTCTGCAAAGTGCAGGGTCCGAACAGGATGAGGGCCTTGCGGCCTGGAACCCACACCAGGGATGCTGGGGCCGCCGTGATGAAGGGCTGGGATGGAGAGAGCTGATCGGCTGCTACTCCAGCAGGGCAGCAGGGAGGTGGGTCAGCACCCGTGGGTGTCAGGCCAGGACTGGCGTCTCCGTGTCCTGCAGGGACCGCTGAGCAAGGGCAGGGCCCAGGAAAGCATGAGGAGAGATGGAGCCCCCATCAGGGTCAAAGGCTGAGGCCGGGATCCCAGGGGAACAAGAGTCAGCCCCACTCAGGTCCACCCAGAGAAGGGGGCGGGGTGAAGCAACACCACACGCAGGGGGATGCCTGCAGGACAGATGCACCCACAGCGAAGGGCGGAGGAGGCCCCACTGCGGAGGGAGCACAGATAGTGCGACCCACCTCCGAAAGCTGCCAGTGGTCCCCGGAGCTGGAGCGGTGGGTCCTGGGACCAAGGGGGTCTGAGGGGAGGTCGGGCAGGTGGCCAGGCCCAGACCTGGAGGGCCCATCCTTGGAGGACAGACCTCACCTGGGAGTCCTGAGGAATGTTGCAAGAAAACGACATGACCGGACTTGGGTGGGTGGGAGGGGATGGAAATCGGGACTAGAGAGACCTCGCGAGGGCGTGGCGGTGGCCCAGGCAGAGTGGACAGATATGTGGGCAGATTCAGAAGGTGGAAGGAACGGGAAGGGAAGAGCCAGGATGCCCCCGGCCTTTTTCGTTGTTGTTAATCCTCACTCGAGGATATTTTCTTCCATCGATTTTTTGGGGTTTTTTTGTTGTTTGTTTCTTTTTTTCTTCCATCGATTTTTAGAGTGGAAGGGAGGGAGGAAGGGGAAGAGAGAGAGAGAAACATCGATGTGAGAGAGACACATTGATTGGTTGCTTCCCACATGCACACCATGGGGTGGGGATCCTGCAACCCAGGTACTCCTGTCCTTGACCGTGTGCCCTTGACTGAGAATCAAACCCGAAACCCCTTGGTCCGTGGGCTGACGCTCTAACCACTGAGCAAATCAGCCAGGGCACCCCCTGCCTTTTTTGACAGACAGTTAAGAGGACACGATAACTGCATCAGTGTGTCCTGTATCTCAACAAAATGGTCCGAGAGAAGGGGTGGTCTGCAAAGAGCTGCTCTTCCCCAAGAACATCCGCTCACTGAGGGGCCATTCGGGGCTGGGGGATACAGAGAGGGTCATGTGCAGTCCTGGGAACAGACGCCTGGACACTTCAGGAGCAGTAAAGTGGCTGGGGGCCTGCCCAAGCTGGTCGTACAGACGGAGGGGCGCTGACCCATGATGGGAATGCTCCAGGCAGAGAGCAGCGTAGGCCAAGAGGAAAGGGAGGTGTGCAGAGGAGGCCGGGAGCTGGGGGAAAGGGTGGGAGAGGCAGACCCAGGAAAGCGGGAGGCGTTGTTTTTAATTTCAAATTCTACTGTCGTTGCTGACATAAGTAAAAGTATTTGACTTGTACATTAATCTCGTATCTTGAAACCTTGCTGTAATTGCTTATTAGCTCCAAGAGGGTGTGTGTGTTTTTCTAATCCTACCTGAGGATTTTTTTTTCTTTTGATTTTAGAGAAAATGGAAAGGAGGGAGGAGTGGGGGAGGGGTGAGAAAGAGAGAGAGAGAAACATAGACGTGAGAGAGACACATTGCTTGGTTGCCTCCCACATGTGCCCCAAACTGGGCCAGGGATCAAACCTGCAACAGAGGTACGAGGTACGTGCTCTTGACCAGAATCTGTTCGCAGGCCAACAATCTAACCACTGAGCAAAACTGGATTTTGTGTGTGTGTGTCAATTCTTTTGGGTTTTCTACACAATCACATTATCCATTTATTTCTTCTCTCGCAATCTGTATACCTTTTATTTCACTATCTTATTGCATTAGCCACTGCTCTTCAATTTTCAGTACAATATGGAAAAGCAGTGGTGAGAAGAAATAGCTTTACCTTGTTACTGACCTTAGCAGGAAAGCTTCAAGTTTCTCCCATTAATTATGATGTTAGCTATAGGTTTGTTTGTTGTTTTTTTAATTGATTTTTAGAGGGAGAGAGAGAGAAGAGAGAGAGAAAGAGAGAGAGAGAGAGAGAGAGAGAGAGAGAGAGAGAGAGAGAGAGAGAAACTTTGACTTGTTGTTCCACTTGCATTCATTGGTTGTCTTGTATGTGCCCTCACTGGGGATCGAACCTACCCCTTGGTGTATTGGGATGATGCTCTATCCAGCTGACCTACTCAGCCAGGGCTAGCTATAGGTTTTTTGTAGATACCTTTTAGCAAGTTAAGTAAGTTCTCCTGTGAGAGTTTTTATCATGAATGGGTGTTGAATTTTGTCAACTGTTTTTTCTGCATCTAGTAACATAATCATGTGATTTTTCTTCCTTAGCCTGTTGATGTGATAGATTACATTAATTGATTTTCAAATGTTGAACCAGTCTTGCATGCCTGAGATAAATCCCACTTGATCATGGTGCATAATTCTTTTTATACATTGTTGGATTTGATTTGTAAATATCTTTTGAGGATTTTTGCATCTTTATTCATGAGAGATATGTCTTTAGTTTTCTTTTCTTATAATGCCTTGCTCTGCTTTTGGTATTAGGGTAATACCAGCCTCATAGAATGAGTTAAAGTGGGAAATTTTATGCTATGTTTATTTTACCACAATAAAGAAAGAAAATGACACTATATAGATAGATAAATATTAGGTGTACTTTTTAAAGGCACTTCTACATTGCTTAATTGTGTTATATATGCAATTTTAAAACAATAAAAAATTAATGCAAAAAAATCTTAGATTTGCATCACAAAACCAACCACTGCTGACTGGACCAGCTTCTAAGGTGAAAATGCAGAAATGCTTACAACCAATAAGGCCCAACTCAATGCCACATTTTGTATGAGTGGGAAGTTAAAATCAGCAAAACAAAATCTGGGGCTTCTAGTTGTAACTTTAAAAGGGAATATTTAGATGCTGAGTTTAAGAACACAGACTTCCAGCCTGGGGATGAGGAGGGGGCGGTGAGAACACTCATGATCACGCGTGACCAGGTGAAGTCAGAAAAGAACTGGGTTGGGAGAAGGAAGGGTGGCCAGCCTCAGTTGGATGTGGCGAGTTGCGGTTCCTGTGGGCCGTGCAGCTGGAGACGCTCACTAGGCAGTTTAGGCAGAGCCGCGGAGACAGAAGGCTTGGAGCTGGACAGACTAGCCCAGTGGTTCTCAACCTGTGGGTCGCGACCCCTTTGGCGGTCAAACGACCCTTTCACAGGGGTCGCCTAAGACCATCCTGCATATTAGTTATTTACATGACGATTCATAACAGTAGCAACATGACAGTTATGAAGTAGCAACGAAAATAATTTTATGGTTGGGTCACAACATGAGGAACTGTATTTAAAGGGCCAGAAGGTTGAGAACCACTGGACTAGAGCCTCACCATACAGGCGGTGGTGGGAATCCAGTGTGAGATGGCAAAGAATGGGTCAGTGGCCAGGTATGGGCCGTAAAGAAAGGGAAGCCAGAGGAGGGAAAGAGTGCGAGGTCTCAGGTACCCAGAGGAAGAGTCACTGGGAAGAGGATCCACCCCTGTGTTGCATCCTGCAAAAAGTTAAGGTACAAGAGGAACTGGGAGGGGAGCTCAGACTTGACAGAGAAGAGGGACCTGTCAGCCTTAACCAAGAGGTTTTAGGGAGAGATGGAGATGAGAACCGGGGGCCCTGCCATGTCTCAGCACATGAGACCATTACTGGCAGACAAGTGCTTGGGGGCCATTATTAATGGATGGTTGGATGATGGATGGATGGTGGATGGAGGAATTAATGGATGGATGGACAGAATGAGTGGTTTAAGAGATCAGAGAAGGCTTCATAAAGAGAACTGAATCGTATCTTGATGTGTGGAGACACAGGGAAAGGGTTCTCTCCGTGGGAACACTGTGAGTCAGGAATGACCCGGTGCACTGGACCCAGGGAAGAAGCCCACTGGCTGGACCGTGGGGAATTGTGGGGAAGGAACCCTCAGAGTCCCTAGGATGAGGCCAGGAGAGGTCAAGCAGATCAAGCAAGTTCAGGATCCTCCGGCCGCACCACACAGCTGCCTGGAGGGACACAGCACTCAGTGCCTCCATCAGCACTAAGGATTCCGTGGTGACCAGGCCAGCCTCGGGGGATCACACGCTAGGTGACTCCAAAGCGCAGGTGGTACCGGCCTCGGAAGGGAGCCGGCCGCCCACCTGCCCCACCCCCTGCTGCAGCCTGTGCCCATCGTACCCAGCAGGTTCCTGCTCAGGACTGGCCCCCAGGGGACAGGCCCCAGGTGCTGGCCCGGCGGGTTTTGGTCCGATCTTCAGTCGCCGTGGTACGTCTTCAGCAGCGGGACCCAGCTCATCGTCCTGGGTAAGCGGCTCTCATCACCTTTTCCCTGGCGTCCCACCCTCTGCTGTCTTGGGAAACACTCCTCTCTCTGTAGGCTGCTTCCCCTCTGCCCTCCTGGCCGGCCGTCAGAACCATCCCCAGGCCCTGGACTGTATGGCTCAGTTCTTTGGGTGTCGGCACCAAAAGGTTGCTGGCTTGATTCCTGGTCAGGGGGCATTTCGATGTTTCTCTTTCTCTCCCTCTCCCTTCCTCTCCCACCCCCGCCACCCCCCCAAAAATACATTAAAAATATAGGGAAAAATAGCCGATCCCCACCTCTCTCTATAAGGTCTGGGGGAGACGGGTTGGTCTCAGGGTAACCAGCAGGGAGGGCCCAACAGTAGGAGTAGCCATGTCCAGAGTCTGACAGCTTGAAGCAGCTGGATCCCGGGGGCTGAGGCTGAGGTTTGGCCTAGGAATGGGGCTCCAGTCTCTCTTCCAGGACAGACACCCACAAGGGGCCTAGGTAGTCCGGAGGCCCTGGGATCTGGGCCGAGGGCTCGATGCCCATCCCCGTGGGGAGAGCCATACAGTCGTCTAGGGACAGGGCTGAGGCTGTGACCACAACCTCCAGGGGCACAGGGTCAGCCCGAGGGAGGCCTATGGAAGGCCGAGCTAAAGCTCTCCGGGCTGTGAGGACATGGGAGGCAAAGACAAAGTACAGCAGGTAAGGTGGCCAGCAGCTCAGCCTCCCAGGACAGCGGTCAGAGAGGAGCAGGTTCTGTGAGGCACAGACTCACCTGTCCCTGGAGCCCATAATTTCTGTCCAAGGTTCGGCCACCCACCTTCCTCTAGGGAGCATTGGACTCAGAGATGACAATGTGGGGAGCGGACCGGGGGCGGGGGGGGTCAGAGCTGCAAACTGCCCCATGAAGTCAGTTGTCAGAGGTCCTGGGGTGGCGTGGGGCCACAGTGCCCGTCATCAGGGGGAGCAGCGCCAAAGATGCAGCTGAGGTGCAGGGTGCTGGGTCAGGGCACAAGGGGCGGGAGGCAGGCAGAGCCTGAGAGGCCCCTGGGCTTCGGCCTCAGCCTTCATTGGAGAGCTGAGGCCGGGCTGGGGCCACGCTGGGTGCCGCTGGGTGCCCAAGGGCGACGGGGGGCGCCAGGCCCCTCTGTGTGCTGGGCTCAGGCTTGGGCCTCCCCACACACCATCAGGCCGGTTGGGGGAGCCCAGATCGCAGAGGCCTGGGGCTCCAGAAGGATGAGTGAGGTGGGGCCTGACGCTGGGCTGAGGGCTCGGGAGTCTGAGCCAAGCCCCACACTCAGACTCCGGGGACTGGGGGGAGGGAGGTCAGCCTGCCCCGCTTACACTCGGGGAAACTGAGGCTACAGGTGGAGGGGCTTGGCCAGATCACCGGGAGGTGACTTGGAAGGGCTTCTGGACGGGTGGGGGCGGCCTGCTGTCCAGGGGCTGAGAGGAAAGGAGGAGACAAAGAAGGAAGGAGGGTCCCCTGGGGGAACAAACATGGCCACAATGGACGGGTCACAGAGGATGCAGATTGGCAGGGGGGCTGCACCAACACCCGCTCCCCCCTGCGTCTCACACCCCTTCTCTGTCCACATAGGTCAGCCCGCGTCCGCACCCTCGGTCACTCTGTTCCCGCCCTCCTCGGAGGAGCTCCACACCAACAAGGCCACGCTGGTGTGTCTCATCAGCGACTTCTACCCGGGCAGCGTGACGGTGGCCTGGAAGGCAAATGGCACCCCCGTCACCCAGGGCGTGGAGACCACCAAGCCCTCCAAGCAGAGCAACAACAAGTACGCGGCCAGCAGCTACCTGAGCTTGACGCCTGACAAGTGGAAATCTGGCGGCAGCTACAGCTGCCAGGTCACGCACGAGGGGGGCACCGTGGAGAAGACCGTGGTCCCCGGGGAGTGTTCCTAGGGCCCTGAGCCCCCCACCCTCGGGGGCTGGAGCCTTGGCACCTCTGGGAGGGTCTTTCCTTCCACCTGAGTCGTCCCCAGCCCCAGCCCGGCTCCCTGAACCCAATCAATTCTCAAAACGTTCTTGTCAATCAGAACCCATGCTCTCTGCTCATTCTTGTCTAGTCTCGTATTTAACCTGTGGCTTCCCCTGGTTCTCAGGTGGGTGGGAGAATCCTTTGTGCCCAGCAGGAGTTCCCTGGGGCACCTTCCAGGAACCTGACCAGGACACAAGGACCAGGTCACCATTCAGTCCCTCTGCCCTCTCCTTCCCCAGTTCCTCCTCCAGCCCATTATGTCCCTCCCTCCTGTTGGATGGAGCTGGCCATGGCCGGTGACCGCCAGATAAGCTCTCACTCCCTGCCCTGGTGCAGATGCCCTCTGTTCCCGGCCCTCGCCCCCTGGGATGTCCTGCTCCCTCCATGCCCAGCTCAGCTCCTGCCCACCCTTGCCCGCTCCCTTTCACTCCGTCAGGCCAGAACCCCCCAAGGGGTCCAGGACACTCCAGCTGAATCAGTCTTCGTTTTTTGGTAATCCTCACCTGAGGATATTTTTCCTATTGATTTTTAGAGAGAGAGAGGGAAGGAGAGAAAGATCACCCACCTTGGTTTCTGGGTTATCAGATACTAAAGATGGGGTTCTCCCATAAGAAAAGGGGTTCTCTCTCCCCACCCCAGTAAATCAAGGCATCGGCATTCTAGTAAATATATCCATTTTGTGTGATGCTTGCGAATGTCCAATTATCCCCAAGAGTTGGGCAACTCTGAACAGATTGAGGCAATTTGGTTTTCACCTTGGCCCGAGATGACTAAACCCACCTGCCACCTCTGATAAACCCCGGCAGCAACTGGCTGGGGCTCCAGCGTAGCATCCAGACATGTTCTTCCCCACGACTGCTGGGGGATCTGACACTACGTCGCACTTTTGGTAAGTCACTGGCCTCAGTTTCCCCACTGTAACTGGAGTGGCCATAAGGGGCCATCTTCTGAGCCTTTGCAGTTGTGCCCTTCCCCCACCACAGGAGGGGGTTGAGGGAGGAAGGGGAAGGTTGAGGAGGAACCAACCTGGGACAGACAGGTGGTGGGGATGGGGGTTGAGACCAGGGTCCCCACCTCTCTTCAAATGACTGTGGGTTCACTCTGGGAGGGCGGGATGGATCTGTGATGTCTACTTAATTCTTTGCTACATCTGGTAGGATTCTCTAAAACGTAAAGCACAATGTAATGTTTTATGTTCAAAGAACTTGAGGAGTAAGAACAGAAAATCAAATATTCACAATACTAATAGTGGAGTCATCATCTGTGCCCGCTGTTTGCCATACAGGTTTGTTTTCCTTAGTCCTCTGGGCTCCACGAGGCTATGAGGTGGCATCATTCCCCGACATTGCAGCCAAGGACACTGAAAATAGAGCCCGTGACTTGAAGGGTGGGCTTAAGACAGAGTCTGGCACAGATGAAGGCAAGGAACAGGTACGCCCAGTGGCAGACTTCCAGTCTACCCCAAAATGCTGCTCCACACATGAATGAGCATGGCCTTTGTGGGTTAAAGGAATGAACAGATAGTAAAATGTTAAAATGCAAATTTCCACCTTACTCTAAACAATAATGTTAATGACAGAACTTACACAAGAAGGAAAAGAATTACAGAAAGAATCAGAAAATCAAATCCAAGAATTTGGTGTTTATAAGTTACAGATATATAGCAAAATATATACACACATTTAAAAATTAAAATGCTGAGCTAAATAAACTCCCATGCAAATGCAAATGCAAGAAAAGCAAAGGAATTATAATATTTGGAAAAGAGAAGTTTAAGCTAGAAGCATGAAGAGGCAAATAGGGCACTAAAAGGCACAGTTTTTCAATATATCACTATTAAGTGTATATATATATATATATATATATATATATATATATATATCCCAAACACCATGGTGCTTACTTATTGACAACTTATACCCTGTCTATTCCTCCAAAAAGAGTTGAGATAATTGCATGACTAACATACCAACGCACATAAAAAAGGAACAGAAACTACATAAAGAAAAAAACACAAAATCAGACTACAATTAGATCAGGTAAATGAGTGTTCTTAACTATTTTGGGGCCACAGAGCCCGCACTTCCAAAATAAGGAGAATGCTTCAGACCCAGAACAATTCACTCATACGCACGTCCACACAGCTTTGTTCAGTCCCTAGGGGTCCACACCTTTTAAAACCCCCGTGTGCCAAAAGACCCCTAGGCAGTCCATGGACCCCAGGTTCAGAACTCTGAAGAAAACAAAATTAGAGAAAATATTAATTTGTATAAAATAGTTTAAAAACTGAGCTAACAAATAGAACTGATGGAGTAAAAACACATTTCTTACGAGTACACAAATGCTTTATAAAAACTGATAATATATTCAGGCCCAAAGAAATTCTATGGACACTCTGAAATGTTGAAACCACAATAAAGTAAGAAATAACAATAATGACTTAAGCATTCATCACTTGGAAATATAAAAAAGTAATAATAACACTTGGGCCAAAAGGGAAGTAATAATATAATAACAAGAAATACCACATGTTAAACTTATGGAGTAGAGAAAAAGCTCGAACTATTAAAAAAAATCAGACTAAATTACCTACATTTACTAGAAATAGTAAAAATATGATTAACTAATGCCCTGGCCTGTGTGGCTCAGTTGGTTGGAGCATCATCCCATGCACCAAAAGGCTGCAGGTTCGATTCGGATTCCCAGTCAGGGCACAGAGCCAGGTTGAGGGTTCCATCCACGGTCAGGGCACGTGCAGAAGGCAGCCGATCGATGTTTCTCTCCCTTCCTCTCTAAAATCAATAAAAATATAGATATATACGCTTAACTAATAATTAATCTTAGAAACATAAAGTGTTAGGCTAAAAACAAACAAACAACCCACCAGAATACATATACTCTGACACAACAATTCAACTAGGTACACAAAATCACGAGTGGGAGCTATACAACACTCAACCTCTGCCGTGAGGGAAAAACACAAGACAACAGAAACAACTAAATTCAAGGACGATTAAACCGTTACCAGGGCAATCCCTCATAACCTTACAGAGACCCAAACTAAAATGGAAGGAATTTAAATACACAGTCAAACCATGAAATACATTGAACAGAGAGCTAGTTTTACTTACACTTCCAAAAATGAAAAGTACCTGGTCTTAACCATGGTTATTTGAGTATCTGTCAACCCTTCAAAAAGGGGTTTTAATCCTGTTACATAAATTGTCAAAAAGAAGAAAGGAGACGGGCTGCAGAGGGTACAGGGGGAGAAAGTGCATATTTCAAAACGTGAGAACAGTATAAAATGAGTTGAGAGAGGCTGGGGGTGAGCTGAGGACAGAGGCTGGCATGAGCTCCATGTGGCTTGTTTAGAGGGGGTGAAGCAGATTGGCTGAAATGGGGGTTTATGTGCAGAAATACCCCCAAAGGTTGGTTTTAAGGAGAGTGGTGACATGTGCAAAGTGATGCTTTAAAAAAAATCAATTTGGTTGGGGTGCACAGGGTGTGGAGGGAGACACTGAGGGTGGGAAGGAAACTGATGACTGCCTGATAGGCACAGAATGAGGGGGTGCAGGAGGTAGACCTGGTGGGAGTTGGTGGCTGCTGTCACCCGCACCGAGCAGGTGTCAGCATTCTCTCCTCACTCCTGGTCCTGACAACGATGCCCAGCACCACCTGACCAGTCCAGCTGTGGTATAGCAGGTGGTGGGGGATCCTGGGGTGCTGGTTAAATGTTTCACATAGCAAAGAGCGGGACTTGACAGAAGTGATCTTCCCAGACCCTCAGACCAATCCTTTTTAAATCTCTGGCTACCAAGCCCCACTTACTTAGTAACAACTATGGCTCTCCCATTTTTTTTGTGTTTTTTTTTTGGTGTTAATCCTCACCCGAGAATATTTTTTTCCCATTGATTTTTAGAGAGTGTGGAAGGGAGGGTGAGAGACACAGAGAGGGAAACATCGATGTGAGAGAGACACATGGGTCGGTCGCCTCCCGCATGCACCCTGACTGGGGCCAGGGATTGAGCCTACAGTGGAGATATGTGCCCTTGACCAAAACTGAACTTGTGACCCGTTAGTCCGAGGACTGACTCTCTAACCGCTGAGAAAACTAGCCAGGGCGGCTCTCCCATTTTATTCATCAAAACTGCACATATCTGCCAAGCTGAGCTTCTGATTGGCTGAAATAACCAGCTTTATCATGATAGGTTCATGGGATTCCAGCCATAAACGTTTGGAAAACTTCAAAATAGCTCAGACCGCCTCCTCCCACACTAGCTGAGAATCCTGAGGGGAATGCCAGTACTAGATCCCCATGGGCACACGAAGGCCTGAGGGCCTGGGACAAACAATGACCAACTAGCCAGACCTGTCAGTGTGTGGTTCCTGGGCCACCTTCAAGCTCTGCTCAGTCAGGGCAAGCAGGCCTGTCATTTGGGAGATGTGGGGGTGCATGGGTGCTCACGGCCTGGATGCATGCTGGGACATTATAACCACCTGGGAGCTTTAAAAACACGCCACTGAGCCCCACCTCTGGGGTGCCCACTGAATTGGTCCCAGATGAACACCAGTTGGCAGGGGGGAGAACAGAGAGAAGTACAGGGACATGGACTGAACACCACAGGGAGGCTCAGGATGGCTTCCAGGAAACATCTTTAAGATAAACGCAGGGCACCCCAGCCCAGGGTGCAAGCCTGAGGGAGTATGGGGAAGCCTGGTTTAATGAGGGCCTGCTGCAAGCTCTGCCATTTCAGGAAGCAGATGGGGATGCTTCTCCAGGTTTCAGGGACAGTGTTTCCGGGGCAGGGCAGAGGTCACTCTGGGTATCCACACTCAATCCCTAGTTGTCAAAGCACTTTCATATGTGCTCTCATTCTGAATGGGAGGCTTGCACCAATCCTCAGAGTGTGGGGCCAGATCCCACTATCGCCATGTCACGGGTAGGAAAACTGAGCCTTGGGGCTTCCGCAAGGACACATAGGTAGGAGGGATGGAGCTGAGACTTGCTCCCAGATCTCTGATTGAATCACCCTGCTTCCCACATCCCCCCGCCCGCCTGAGCCTGCACTGGAAGGTGGAGAGGCTGCATAGCTGCCAGACCAGAAACGGGCCCTGCTGATGTCCAAGGCACGCTGTGGTTTTAGGAGCCCTGGGTCTGGTGGAGGGCCTGCTCCTGGAGGGCACTGGTGCCGTGGGCCTGGGCTGAGTCAGAGCTGGGCATCAAATGCCCTCTGGCCTGCAGGACCAAACCTCTACTCTCCTTGAAAGAGACCCCCCTCACTCTAACACAGAATAGGGTTAAGGGACCACACCAGGGACTTGCACCCTCCCTCCCAGTCCCAAACCTAATCCTTCCAGACACTCCCTTTGTTCTGTAACCTGTTCGGGTTGCACCGACAAGTACCCAAACCAGGCAGAAGATTCCATTTTGTGGCTGAGGTATCTACTTTTTGGATTCATTTTTCTTCAGCTAATTTGGACTGTGAGAATGGTTACTTCTACTGAAAGTGCCAAACTATAGCCTGATGTTAGAGTTCTCACCTGACATTCTCATGGGTTTAAGTCAACTTTCTCCCTCTTACAGTCACTTCTCTTCTGTATTCTGGAATAGAGGGCAGAACTGAACCTCACAGGCTTGGAAGTCAAATGTGAGAATGAGAAAATCGAAGGCCCACTCTCTTTTCAGGTGCTCAGCCATTCTGGCAGCCTTTCTCTCCCCCCATCCTCCCTTGTGCTCAGAAAACCTGCTGATCACCTGGCCAAGAGGGGCCGGTGCTGCTGGTGTGGTGCTCAGGAGCACCCAGGTCCAACTCTGTTCTGGGGCAGGTGGATGGAGCTTTGCAGATAAAGTGACTGGGCACGGGCTCCATCTGGGAAAGGCTTTCAAGCTTTGGTGTGAGCTCCTCCTTCTAGAGCTTCTCCCCAGCATGGATTTTCTGATGCCGAATAAGGTGTGAGCTCCCCCTGAAGGACTTGCCGCATTTGTTACACTCGTAGGGTTTCTCTCTGGTGTGGGTTTTATAATGTTCAATAAGGGCCGACCTGTGCCGGAAGGCTTTGCCACACTCATTGCACGCATAGGGTTTCTTCCCGGTGTGGATTCTCTGGTGCTGAATCAGTGCGGAGCTGTGGCAGAAGGCCTTCCCGCACTGGCCGCACTCATAAGGCTTCTCCCCAGTGTGAATCCGCTGGTGCTCAATGAGGGAGGAACTCTGGCTGAAGGCTTTCCCACACTTATGGCATTTGTAGGGTTTCTCACCGGTGTGGGTTTTCCGATGCTCAATGAGGTTGGAGCTCTGGCTGAAGGCCTTCCCACACTCTTCACATTTGTACGGTTTTTTCCCAGTGTGAATCCTCTGGTGCCGAATGAGGTGGGACCTGTGACAGAAGGCCTTTCCGCAGAGATCGCATTGGTGAGGTTTCTTTAGGGTGTGGATTTTCCGATGCTGGCTCAGGCCTGAACTCTGGTTGAAGGATTTCCCACATTCCTTACACTGATAAGGTTTTTCTCCAGTATGAATTCTCTCATGTTTTCTCAGACTTGAGCTCCGACTGAAATCTTTCCCACATTCCCTACATTCATAGGGTCTCTTCCCAGTGTGGGTTTTCTGATGTTGTGTGAGGGCTGAGCTCTGGCGAAAGGCTTTTCCACATTCTGGGCATTCGTAGGGCTTCTCCCCAGTGTGGATTATCTGATGTCTGAGAAGGTGCGAGCTCTGGCTGAAGGCCTTCCCACACTCACAGCACTCGTAGGGCTTCTCCCCAGTGTGGATCACCAGGTGCCTAAGAAGGTGCGAGCTCTGGCTGAAGGCCTTCCCACATTCCCGACACGCATAGGGTTTTGGTGGTTGTGCAGTTCTGTGAGGCTCATTAGGTCCCGAGTCCCCACTGCCCACTAGCTCATAGTCATGTTTGCTGGGTTCCTCTCCATCATGGATTAACTGACACATACTAAGGTCTGATTTCTGGAGGAAGGTTTGGCCAAATATGTCATCATCCTGGGGTTTGTTGACTTGGGGAATACTCTGATGCTGAACAGGGCTTGAGCACAGACTGAAATTCCCCTCGTAATCATCATGTTCCTCGTTTGGCTCCCCAAGAGGGATCTCCTTATAGATAACAGCCATTTGCTCTAAACCTCTTTCCTGAAGAAATGCGTCCCCTAGGTCCTCCTCTGGGAAAAGCTCTTGCTGCATCTCTAACCCATCTTCAAACACAAAGGTCTCACCAAGCTTGGATGCCGGGGGAACCTCCATTGTGGATCTAGTATCAGCCCCAATGACTGTATTTCTTGAAAGATGTTCTTCTTTGGGACACACTTACTGTTCTTACAATCTAAAAGGAAAAGGGACATTGTCAAGCAGACAAGTCAAGCACTTAGTATGTGCCTTCTTCCTGTGCCAGAATCAATGGTAGAGATGACAAAATAAGTATAAGATACAATCTTGGCCCTGGCCAGTGTGCTCAGTGGTTAGAGTGGCAGCGCATACATTGAAGGATCTCGGGTTGGATTCCAGGTCAAAGGCACATACCTGGGTTGCAGGCTTGATCCCCAACCCAGTTGGGGCACTTGCAGGAGGTAACCAACCAATGTGTCTCTCTCACATCTCTCTCTCTCGCTCTCGCTCTCTCCCCTCACCCCCAAAAAATCAATGAAAAAATATCCTCAGGTGAGGATTAACAAAACAAAACAAAATGTCACAATCTTGCCCTTTGCTTTGATCCCCATTGGGTTAGACAGAAGTTTGATTTGTCAGAAACAACTGCAAACAAGACAGAGAAATTAGAGAATCAAACACCACACCATAGTGTCTAGACCAGTGATGGCAAACCTTTTGAGCTCGACATGTTAGCATTTTGAAAAACCCTAACTTAACTCTGATGCCGTGTCACATATAGAAATTTTTTGATATTTGCAACCATAGTAAAACAAAGATTTATATTTTTGGTATTTATTTTATATATTTAAATGCCATCTAACAAAGAAAAATCAACTAAAAAATGAGTTCGTGTGTCATAGGTTCGCCATCACCGGTCTAGGCTCTCTGAGGACATTCAGAAAGGTGGGTTAGATCAGGAAGTGGAGCCACATGGAAAAGGCACAACACTCCACCTGCTGGAGGGGTTGGGAATGGGGATTTGTTGGGAAAGAGCGTGCCCTTTCTTCCTTGCGGTGCCCCAGCCACAACTCCGGGAGTCAGCCTCCACCTTCTTCCTCTTCACCTGCATGGCCTGTCCTTCCATTTCCTGAGGCTTTATTGAAGGGGTCTGCCTCTGCCTCTCTGTCTTTGCTGCGATTCCGGAGCTCAGGCCTCAGTGCAAATCCCTGAGATCATTTCAACACTCACCTCCCAAATGGCTGCCTGTCTCCAACTTCTGTTCCTCCCTTGGGTCCATTCCCTGCATTGACACCAGTGTGAGATACCCCAATACAGGCCCGATCGTGTCATTTCTCTTCTTAGGAGCCTGTGACAGCTCAACTCACTCACCAGGCCATCGTGCATGGCCCTTCCAGACCATCTCCTGCCCCTCCTTCCACACACCCCTAACCTTCCGTTTAATTTGTGCTGCTGCTGCTTCTGCCTGCCAGGTCCCTCCCCTTTCTCAGACTGTCACTGGCTCATCCTTCCAGGCTCAGTCCAGACGTCCCCTCTTCTCTCACCCTCAGATTGACTATCTCAGGCACGCCCCTCCGTGACCCACGGAGCTTGGTGCACGCACCCCTGGATGGCACACATGGGTTGACAGGACTCTCCCCACCACTACCTGTGAGCTCCTTCAGGGCAAGTCGTGGGCTCCTTCATTTTGGAGCCCCGAGCCCCAGCACAACGGGACAATCTCTACACCTACATTTGTGGAATTATACACAACCGAATGGAGGAAAAGCCACCTGGTTTTGTGCTAGAACTGATTGTCACACTTGAACCCTTTTTTAAAAAAATATATTTTATTGATTTTTTACAGAGAGGAAGGGAGAAGGATAGAGAGTTAGAAACATCGATGCAAGAGAAACATCGATCAGCTGCCTCCTGCACACCCTCTACTGGGGATGTGCCCGCAACCAAGGTACATGCCCTTGACCGGAATCGAACCTGGGACCCTTGAGTCCGCAGGCCGACGCTCTATCCACTGAGCCAAACCGGTTAGGGCTCACTTGAACTCTTTATCAAAAAAAAAAAAAATCAATTCTCTGGGAGATATAAACAAATAAACAGACAACAGCATGACTGCTCCAGTTGGAGGAGGGTGTTTCTGCAGGAACAAAGAAGGAAACTGGAACACACACCCCACCTTAGCCCCTCAGCCCCTGTGGTGGCCCGGGGTAGCCTCTCAGGACCCCATTCATAAACTTCTGTGCAGCTAAAGGGAAACTCCCAGCTACCATAAGGATAACAGCTCATGTGTACTGAGTGTCTGCTCTTGCTAGGCACTACCAGACCTTTACAAGTGTTTCTCACTTAATCTTCACAACTCTATACAAAGGTACTACTATTATTATCCTTACCTTGAAGCTTAGAGAGTAACGGAATCAAAATATACATATTAGTCAGAATAGCCATGATGGAGCCCATTTCTGTTTGGAAATATCTTCTTAATGAATTTCAGCCACTTTAATGAATTGTCTTTGCTCATTTCACCCCCTCTTGCCCTTCTCTTCAGATACCATAATCTCCAATCCTCCCAGTTCTCTCACTCAACCTCACCGAGTCTAATAGCTCCCTATCTTTTATTTTTTAATTTTTATTGATTTCAGAGAGGAATGGAGAGAGAGAGAGACATCAATGATGAGAATCACTGATTGGCTGCCTCTCGCATGCCCCCTACTGGAGATCGAGCCTGCAACCCAGGCAAGTGCCCTTGACCAGAATCGGACCCTTCAGTCTGCAGGCTGATGCTCTATCCACTGAGTCAAACCGGCCAGGGCTAATATTTCCCCATTTTCACTTCGTTCTCCTCTTCTAGTTCTACCCACTCCCTTCTAGCTTAGATCCCCTCCTTCTACAGTGGGTCTAACTATAGACATCACTTCAGCTAACTCTCTGACCAGCACCACATTCCTCATTTCCTTGCCCTGCTGCAACCGGCCACTAACTCCTCCTCTGCCAATTCCTCATAAAATGTTAAATGCTGCCAAGGAAAATCATACGACTGCGTATGGCAGCGAGACAGATTTCGCGTTTCCAATTTCAGCTGGGACCTCAGCACGCGGCTCCAGCAGCCAATGACCTCCTTGCTGCCAGTCCTCTCTTCTCCGTCCCCTTCCCCACCCCTTCTGGCACTGCTCACCAATACCTCCTTCTCAAAACCCTTCATTTTAGAGGATGCAAATTGGCAGCCTGGGGATCCTGCCACAGACACGTTTTGTCTGGCTCTCAAACGAGCTGGGCTTTTCCTTTTTGTGTGACTTAGCCGCCAACATGGAAAACTCAGTGGTTCTCTGGCCTTCTCTTGAAAAACTAAAGATGTGACAATATGGGCTCATCCCTTCACTAAGCCCACCTTGCCTACCCGGACGCCTCAAGGCTTTGAGCTGGCTGGACAAATCACCCCACTCCCACATCCTGCCTTATTCCCTTGGTTTCTGAAAGATTCCGCCCCCCTCTCCCCCCCAATTTTCATAGCCTGGGATGCCTCCTTCTGCGTATTGCAACTCTTTTTCCACCCACCTGCTAAATCCTGGTGTTCCCAAGGTTTCCTCCTTAGCAATTTTCCGTTCCCGCTCTGTCCCACCTACACCTGAAGCAGTGGTTCTTAACCTTCTGGCCCTTTAAATACAGTTTCTCATGTTGTGACCCAACCATAAAATTATTTTCGTGGCTACTTCATCACTGTCATGTTGCTACTGTTATGGATCGTCATGTAAATATCTGATATGCAGGATGGTCTTAGGCGACCCCTGTGAAAGGGTCGGTCGACCGCCAAAGGGGTCGCGACCCACAGGTTGAGAACCGCTCTCCACTCTGTTTCAAAAGTTGGCAATCCTTGATCTGTCCCCAACGACGTTTTAAACATTTTTGGACCCCAAAAAAAGCCAAAGGTATGGAACCCCATGCTTCCCACTTCCCCGGCTGCTCCTGCATCCGTCACCCCATCCTCCAGGGAGCCCACGCGGCCCGGCGCCCGGCAGAACCTCGGTCCGGTCGGGGCTTTCTGGCTGGAAGCCAGCGAGCAGCCGCGGACAGGCACACGCCGGCCGGCCGGGCGGCGACGCCTGCGCCCCGACATGCTTCCCACCAATGGAGACGCTCGCACCCTGACCACCGGAGGGACAGGTGGGCACACGGGCTGCCGCGGAGCCACTCACCTGGGCAGGGGCGGGGCCGCTCACCTGGGCCGGGGCGGGGCCGCCGGAGGCCGGGGCGGGGCTGCACCTGAGCTGCTCCAACCCGCGGCCGACCCGGCCTGGCTCCCGGGCTGCTGCTGACGCGGAGCCCCCGGCGCCCCGAGAGCCGGAGCCCCGCCCCCCTCCCGCGGGCACTTCCGGGACTGCTCTAGGCCGCGCGGAGGTCCTCGCGTCTCGGTGGTCCCGCCGTGCCTGGTGTCGGGGCACGCAGCCGCGGGGCTCCGGGCTCCGGGACAGGGATCGGGAGAGACTCTCCTGTCCGACGACGCAGTGGCTCTGGGCTGCCCCCAGAGTGAGTCCGGCTGGGAGGAGAACAGAGCTGGGCAGTCGTTGGCAGGAGTGCAGGGGAGGAAACTGAGGCCGGGAGGGGCAGGCCGGCTGCACTTGCCCTGGGGGTGGGGGCCGCCAGGCGTGTGGGGTCTTAAAGAGGAGAATGGGATTCCGGAGTGGAGCCCATCAGCTCTCATAGGCCCAGGAGCCCTGCGGATTCATCATTCCTTGCTGGTTCTGCCTGCCAACCCAGCCCCCACAGAGGCGGGAATGAGAAGAAGGGCCCGCGGAGGACCCCCCCGCAGATGGCCGCGCGTGTTGGCTGGACCCTCTCTGGACTCAGTACATTTGAGGGATGACCTCCAGGCATGAGCCGCCTCCTAGGGGACCCGGGAGGGAAGAGGGATGTGTTCTTACCCCGCACCCGACTCCCAGACTCTCAGCTCTGCTTCTGATGGCAAGACTTGCCCCTCCCCCTATGCTTCCCCGTGGGCACACCTGCCTGTGGGAGAGCCTCCCTGGGGAAAGTGGGGCACAGCCCTCTCATGGGAGACCAATAGAACACGTGTTCCTGAAGGGGGGCAGGGGGGATTCTGCCCACTCAGCCAGCCCCTACCATCTGCCCACCCGCCTTCACGCTGGCCCTCAGGTGCCTCTGAGTGCCCTACACACACACACACACACACACACACACACACACGCACGCACACACACACTCACAGCTGCCTCCCTGCTCCATCAAGGAGTAGGCAGGGACTGCCCCTCCCCTCCCTAGCAGCCTGGTTCCTTGGGAACCCAGTTGTAACCCAGTGAGCACTGGACCACAGCCAGCCATGCAGAGCTGGGAGTGGCAGGGCTGGTTCCTTTTTTTTCTCCAGCTCCTTGGGTCACAGGAAGGCCAAGCGACCAGTCTGAACCCCCTGGGGGCCAGGGGAGAGGCCCGGCCCTGTCCCAAGGGTCTCAGGTGCTTCCTCTTACACACCAATCCCCAGAATCCCTGGCCCCCTTCACCCTCCCCAGCCAACCACAGTCACTTTTTCAGCAGAGATCTCATGGCCAGTATTGACATGTTGGATATTATTAGCCCATTTTACAGAGGAGGAAAATCAAGGCACAGAGAAAGTTAGAGAGCGGCCTCAGGTCAGAGACAGAAGTGGGAGACAGGAGGCATTCACCCCACACCCCACCCCTAGGATATGTAACCAACAGAGCAGTAATAATCTGCATCGTCCTCGGGCTGCACGGGGCTGATGATCAAGATGCAGGCATTTTGGGCTGCGTCTGTGGCTGCTGAGAAGCGGTCCGGGATGTCTGGGGACCGGTGGTGATCCTCCTTGGAGCGGTAGTAGAGGAGGTAGCGGGGGGCGCTTCCCGCCCGCTGCTGGTACCAGGACACGCCGTAGTCCCCGATGTTGGCGTGGCGGGGGTTGAGCATGCAGGAGATTTGGACCACTTGGCCTGGGAACACCAGCAGTGCATCTGGCTGGGTCAGTACTGGCTGGGAGACTGAAAGAGACAGACCTGCTCAGGCCTGGCCTGGGCCCCTGTTCTCCCGCTTCTGCCTTATGAAGACGTGGTCAGACTCCCAAACCAGACAACTCCTCTTCCTAGAGGGCTCGTGGCCTGGTGCCATGGGATGGGCACAGGATGGGGTACCGAGCTGGTGACCCCTAAAGCCCCATCAGTGCCATGTTCCCGAGGATCAGTGTTCAGTTGCAGGCCTAAAGTTTAAACGGTGGGACCGGTGGCCTCTATTGCTCACTCCCACCCCTTGCCCTGAAGACCCCTATCCCCTCAGTCACACTGGCTCTTCCAAACCCTGGTTGCAGACTAACCACCGCCAGGAAGCTCTGGGCTGTACCACCCATCAGCTCAGCCTCAGGCAACTGGGTGCTGAGGACCTTCTTGGAGTTAGGTTGTTCCCGAGGTCCTGTGAGGTAGGGATCAGCCCACACCAGCTTCTCCTGTGAAAAACTCAAAAGGTCACCAGCTCCAGCCCCTTCTCAGACCCTAAAGCAGTGGTCGGCAAACTGTGGCTCACGAGCCACATGCGGCTCCTTGGCCCCTTGAGTGTGGCTCTTCCACTAAATACCGACTTCTGCGCATGGACCACGAAGTTTCAATCGCACTGTACATGTGCACCCACACGTGGTATTTTGTGGAAGAGCCACACTCAAGGGGCGGAAGAGCCGCATGTGGCTGGCAAGCCGCAGTTTGCCGACCAGGGCCCTAAAGAGTCAACGTTCAAAGGGACTCTAGTGGTCTGGTCAATCAGAAATGGAGAAACTGAGGCCCACCCAGAGAAGTGACTTGCCCCAGGTCTAGGGCACAGCCATCCCCTCTGCAGCCAGGTCTCCCCTTCACCTCAGTGCCCCTTCCAGACCTCCCACTGCTCATCTCAATTTGCTTCTTTTTTTTTTTTTTAAAGATATATTTTATTGATTTTTTACAGAGAGGAAGGGAGAGGGATAGAGAGTTAGAAACATTGATCAGCTGCCTCCTGCACACTCCCTACTGGGGATGTGTCTGCAACCAAGGTACATGCCCTTGACCGGAATCGAACCTGGGACCCTTGAGTCCGTAGGCCGATGCTCTATCCACTGAGCCAAACCAGTTAGGGCTCAATTTGCTTCTTTGCAGGGAGGGGCCTTCTGGAGCCAGTGCTGTCCCCCACCCCACCCCCAGGTGAGCCAGGCCCAGGGAGAGCTCACCTGCCAGGAGGGCTCCAATCAGAAGGAGGGCCAGGCGCCACCAGGCCATGGCCAGCAGCAGTGAGGCAGGCGGGAGCTGTTCTGTTGGGTGTGCCCCAGGTGCTTCAGGGCATGGGCCGGGGAGGCTACTGGACCACAACAGGGCATGCAAATCAGCCCCGTGATTGGTGGGGGAGGCAGGGGCTGGGGCCCACTGCCAGGCCCCATCTCCCCAAACGTGAGAGTCCTGACCCGCCCCCCCCCCCCTCCCGCCCCAGCCTTCTGAGAACAGGAGCCAAAATCCACACGTGCACTGAAGACACACCCCTCGGCACTTGGGCCATTTCTTCAGAACCTGGCTGCAGCCACCCCTGAGCTGTGTTCTGCAGGACTCGGGTCCCCAGACACAGTGGTGTCCCCGGAATAAAGTGCCCTGCACTTTAAATAAGTTTGGGAAACGCTGTCTGTTTGCACAGTATTGATTCTGAGCACTGGCTACTGCTGAGCACCGTAATGAGGCATTGGATTTAATCCTCACAGCTGTCCTGTTCTCACTCCCTGAGGATCATGCTTATTCCGAGGCGGGCTGACCAGGCAAGCTGCGAGGATAGGAGGATCCGTCCTCCTCCTGCCTGGCCTCTGGCCACCCAGAGCTCTGACTGCCTAATCATGGGGTGGGGGAGGGTGCAAGACATTTCTAAAACCTTGGGGAAAAGGGAGCTGGTGAAGGTTGGGCACCCTGGCTGGAGGAGTCTGCTGGGGCTCATGGAGAGGGGGCAGGAGACAGAACTGCGAAGAAGAGAAAGGGGAGGGGATAAGGGAAGAGGACAGAGGCAGGATGATGATGGGAGAGAGACAGAGAAAAAAAGTCAGAGAAAGGGAGATGGAGAGGCAGAGAAACTGTTCATGTGAGAACACAGAGAAAGAAAGAGAACCAGGGAGAGGCAGAAAGGAGGGGGAGAGAAGGAAAGACAAACATGAGACCGGGAGAGACAGGAGGAGGAGAGAGAGAGAGCTGGTGAGGGGACCAGCCGTCAATCTGAGAGGCCTGGCCACAAACAGAAAGAGGGACGATGAAAATGGTGCGGCCAGTATGGAAAACATTGGCAGTTTCTTGTCAAGTTAAGCATACTCTCATCATCTGACCCAGAACTTCCTCTCATGGCATTTATCCTAGAGAAATGAAAACTTCTAGTCACACTAAAACCTGTAGGTGAATGTCTATACTGGCTTTATTCGTAATTGCCCAAAACTGAAAACAACCCAAAACAACAGCAGGTGAATGGATCAACAAACATGGTACATAGTAGAGGTCAAGGTTCGATTCCCGGTCAGGGCACATGCCCGGATTGCAGGCTCCATCCCCAGTGCGGGGTGTGCAGGAGGCAGCCCATCAATGTCATCGTGGATGTTTCTATCTCTCTCTCCCTCTCCCTTCTGCTCTGAAATCAATAAAAATATATTAAAAACAAACAAATATGGTACACCCAGACAATGGGACCCCCTTCAGTGATAAAAAGCAACAAACTGTGTATATAATATATATTATATGTCATATATTTTTTCAAAGGAAGGAACTATTTTTAACTTTATTTTTATTGTTGACACTATTACAGATGTCCCCATTCCCCTCCCCCATTGCCCACGTCTACCCACCCCCAGCCCCCATTCCCTCTGGCCGTCACCACACTGTTATCTGTGTCTCTGGGTTACGCATTTGTTCTTTGGCTAATCCCTTCACCTTCTTTCATCCAGTCCCCCTCTCCTAGAACAAACTCTTGATACATGGGCATGGGACAATTTGGGGGAATCTCATAGCATCATGCTGAGTGGAAGAAGCCAGACTCAGAAGGTCCCATACTGTATGATTCCCTTTATAGGACTTTCTGGAAAAGGCAGTGGTTGCCAGGGACTAGAGTCGACTACAAAGGGGTGTAAAGAAATTGTGGGAAGTGATGGAGATGTTCTGTACCCAGACTGTGGTGGTGGCTATATGAGATTTGTCAAAACTCAAAACACTAAAAAGGGTGCATTTTACTGCATGTAAATTTTACCTCAATAAACTTTTTTTTAAAAAAGGAAGCCTGGCGAGTGTGGCTCAGCGGTTGAGTGTCGACCCGTGAACCAGGTCACGGTTCGATCCCTGGTTAGGCACATGCCCAGATTGCATGCAGGAAGCAACTGATCGATGACTCTCTCTCATCATTGATGTTTCTGTTTCTCTCTCCCTCTCCTTCCTCTCTGAAATCAATAAAAAGATACTTAAAAAAAAAAGAAAAGAAAAGAAGCCAGGACAGAAGAAAAGGAGAGACTGGGAATGAGGAGGAAGACAGAGGGAGAGGAAAGAGCATGAGCCAGGGAAGGGGGCTTTGAGTTGGAGGGGAGTCTGCAAGGTGGGTGAGGACCCCATGCTTTGCCAGGGCCCCTGGCCAGCTGCCAGCTGCCAGCTCACAGGGCCAGTGCCCCACCCCCAGGAACCTCCCCCACTTTCAATCTGGGAGCTGTTTCTACTTGTAGGAGAATGTGGCCTCTGGACATCCCTGGAAACCGAGGCTCCAGGCCCCGCTACAGCCCTGCCTCAGCTCCCGTTACCAGGAAACTGGGGGGAAGGCATTTCCTGCCTGGAGGTCTTGGCAGCTCCCACTGCCATGGAGACCAGCGTGGAAGCTGGGAGGGCCTCCGTCTCCTCCCACTGCTCTGCCCCAGCCAGCGGGAGGAAGAGGAGGCCAAGGGCCTGGACAACTGCAGGAGCCCAGCTCCAAGGATGGACAAGTAGGGGCCTCAGCCTGGGCCCACCTACCCACCACCCACGGATCCACCCCCACACACTACACCTCCCAGCAGGGCCTGAACCCTGAATAGATCTCAGCCCCAGGCCCTTCCTTAGCTGGAAGTCGGGGTACCAAAGCCCTACATCTGTCTCCTCCCCCCGCAGCCATGTTTATCACGGTGATGTTTGGAGGTAAGTGGGGCCCCCTGTCCCTGCAGATGGGTCAGGGAATGGTACACTCAGCTTGCTTCCCTCTGCCCTGGGGGTTGGGGGGAGGCAGTGTGGGGGAGGGGATGGGGGGTTTGGGTAAGAATCTCTGTGAGGAAGCAAAGCTAGTGCCTGGAGTGAGTGCCTGGAGGGGAAAACCCTGGCTGGGTACCAGGAAACTCACACCGCCCCTCTCCTAGAACACCTGCCAGGCTACCACGGAGGATGTTTTTAAACTGATGATTCCTTGGCTACTGATTCAGTCAGCGGTCCTCTAGATCAGGGTGCATCAGGCACCCCAAACTCCAGCCACAGTTGCAGATTCCCAGCTCTCTGGTGGGAGGGAGTCCATGCTGGGAGGGAGTCCGTGGTGGGAGGGGGGCTGGTGCAGGAGGCATGAGTTGTGCACCCATCACTGACATCTCCGGAGATGGGTGGGGGTGGGGTGGAGTCCTGGTCCCTGCTCTGGTTAAGAGATGGTAGAGCCACTATGCTGTACACCTGAAACTAACCCAAAATAATATTGAATGTAAACTATAACTGAAAAAAGAAAAAAAGTTACTGCTTAGTGGGCATGTTGTTTATTTTGGGGGTGAAAATATTTTAGAAATAGATATGCCCTGGCTGGCGTGGCTCAGGTGGTTGGAGCGTTGTCCCATGCACCAAATGATTGACAGTTCGATTCCCAGTCAGGGCACACACCTAGGCTTTGTTCGGGTTCGATCTCCAGTCAGAGCGCAGGCAGGAGGCAGCCCATCAATGTTCCTCTCATATATCGATGTTTCTCTTTCTTTCTCTCTCTCCCTTCCCCTCTCTCTAAAATCAATAAGACATATTCTCAGGTGAGGTTTAAAAACACACACACACAACAGCAGTGATGGTTGTACAACTCTGTGAATGTACTAAATGACACTGAATTGTAGTTTGGTTAAAATGGTGGATTTAATATTATGTAAATTTTATCTCAATAAAACAAATCACTTAAAAAAGAGAGAGAAATGGGAGATGCAGAGGGGCCCAGAGTGGGGGAAAGTAGAGGGTCCCGTTCACTCACCTCTGCCCCTCCCCCACAGCTGGCTGCCGGGAGCTGGTGAACCCGTGGTGCAGCCTGGTGACTCTCACTGCCCACCTACGGCAGAGGGGGCGGGTGCCTCCAGATGGTGAGGGGCAAGGAGGGGTGGTGAGGTGGGGGCCCAGGGCTGCAGACATGGGTACCAGCCCTGCCCTGCCTCCTTCCCTCTTCTCCCAGCAACCATCGCCCTCCTGGCTGAGGATGGGCACCTGGTGAGTCTGGGCAGTGACCTGGAGGAGGGGGCTTCCCAGGCCCCCTCCTCCGGCAGCCCCCTGCTGCAGGAGCGTGGGACCTATGTCCTCGTGCAGATCATCAGTAAGTGGGGCCTCCGACTTGCTTCCCTCCCCCTGCAGTTATGTTGGAATGTAAGAGGGGGGACAGCCGTCCAGAGACCACCCAAGACCCGACCCAGCTCCCCACTTTGGCCAAAACCTAGCCCTGACCCTTTTATCCAATAACCTGTCCTGACCCCAGCCTGAGCCAGTGAGAAGTAGGGGCCAGTCGAGTCATTCCTCCTCCACCCACAGATGGGGAGGGCGGGGCCCCCACTCGCTATGAGTCCCTCCTGGAGAACCTGGATGCCCGGTGTCCAGAGCTGGCAGGTGAGTGTCATGGCAGAGCCCTGGGGTGGGGAGGTAGCATCTTCTTCCAGCCCCGACAGGCAGGGCTTCCTGGGCCTTGCAGAGGCGCTGTGCCGGCTGTCGGGCCTACCCCCCCTGGGCAACAGCCGGAGGAGACGTACTGGCACTCGCACTGGCACTCGGCGTGGCCACCAGGACCAAGGCCCTCCTTCGAGGTCCCAAAGGCTGGGCTCCCTGCTGTCCAGGCCCCGCTAGCGGGGGCCAGAAGCCAGGTAAGGAAGAGACATGGATACCTGGGGGGGCATTCACACCCAGGAGTGGGACCCTTTCCCACGAGACAGACACCCATGTACTGAGAGAGGTGAACAGGCCCCCAATCTCAACCCCCATCACTACACACATATATATGCCTGCAAGACTGAACACACTGTACCCAGAGGCGGACACCCCCCACCCCCCTGGACTGTAAGTACCCAAGGGCAAGAACATCCTCCGTGCCCAGGAGACATGGCATTGGGCCTGGCATTCAGTAAATGCCCGAGGCAGAGCTGCCAAACGAATTCCCAGAAGGCAACAGCACAGCACGTGTGACGGGGCTTGTGATAGACTTGTGCTCCTCTGTTCCAGCAGCCCCGTGACGAGGCGCACCACAACCCAGTGGCCCAGCTAGACTCAGATCCAAAGGGGATGGCCGTGACCTCTGCCTTGTGTGATCAGGCCCAGACAGACAGCAGCCCAGCAGCATTCCTCTTACGAAACCTGGAATTACTGAGTTGTATCTGCAAGAGGCGCAAGGTCACAGACAGGCTGTGAGGCTGCTGGGGACCCCTCCGATGTGGGCGCAGAGGCAAGAAAGGTGGAGGGGCAGGCATCCCTGGGAGAGTAGACAACTGGGAATTCCAGCTCCCAGAGCCAGACGCCTTTTAGGTCACCTGCTAATGCCTCACTGCCCGCTCTGACGGCTCAAGGCTGTGGGATTACCATAGGGCTCCTCCCTTCCCACCCAGGAGGCAGCTTGGTGAGTCAGCCACCCCACCTCTTCAACCACCCGTGCTTCCGGCAGACAGGCCAGTGAAATGGCACACAGCAGGCTCTGGTCTAAGATAAACTTTTAATTGCACATTTGTGTCTCTGGTCATCTATGGGGTGAGGAACCCACAAAAATCCTAACTACATGGGTACATTCTGGCGTTTTGGTCTGGCTGTCGGTGAAGGGGTGGAGTTGAGTGCAGAGCTGGACCCAAATCTGCTCCAATCCGCACCACGGTGCCCGGTCTCTTCAGGGCAGGGAGCTCAGACCTGTGGAGGGAGGGGTGGTCCCGGCCGGTGGTCAGCCCCACAGTATAGGGAGCGGGGATGTCCCTCCCAGCCCCCGCCTGGGGTGGGGGCCACTGGCTCACCGTGGTTGTACTTGCACTGCTTCAGGGCCTCGCTGAAGCCCTCACACAGGGTCAGGTCGCTCTGAGTGGTGGAGCAGTCCAGGAACTGCCTGATCTCATAGGCGCAGGGCCCCATCTGCAGCGGCTGGGAGGCGGCTCTGGCAGGGGCCTGCGGTGGGTGGCGCAGGAGGCAGTGAGGTCAGCTCAAGGTTGGTAATGAGAAGTGGGTGCCAAAGCTGGGTGCCCCCTCCCCCTCCCCACAACCCCAGCCTGAGAGTCCCAAAACTCCAGGCAGGCTGACTGACCCAGGACCAGCAGACGCAGCTGCTCCATCTGTTACACAGGGTGAGCCCCAAGCCTTCTCAGAGCCACTCAGCTGATGCCTGACAGCGTCTCCCTGCTGCCTAACAATGGGCACGTGGGGCAGGTGGCAGGGGCAGAAGAATCTGGAAAAGCCCAGTGAGGATGAGCCCCACCCGTACAAGTTCTAGCAATTTCCTGGCTCAGCCACACTGATCCCCATGACCCCTGACCCTGCCACGAAGTCTGCATGTGGCTCAGGGCTGGTGGGGTGCCCAGTGGGTGACGGGTCAGCAGGGAGCAGGCCCCAGAGTCACCGCTCCAGTGCCTGACGTAGGATGGGGAGCGAGGAGACTCGGGAATTTCCACATCCCTCCTTTCTCCTGGCGTCAGGTGACCTTGGGCCCTAAAGTCACGAGTTTCCCCATCTCTAAAGGGCTGCTTGGCATCCGTCCCTGGAAGCCCAGGGACCTTGGCCTGAGGGGAGGGCCTGGAAGGGCCAGCCTGTGAGCCATAGGCGGGCAACAGCGGAGTGAGAAAGCGGACCCTGGTGGGGCAAAGTCCTGGGCCTGAGGCAGCCCAGGAAATGCCTGCACACAACTCGGTGGACATTCCAGCTGGACTCCCTGCTCTGTGGCCTCGGTTTCTCGGGGCCCCGTTGCTCACCTGCTGAGCCGCAGGCTGGGCGGGCTCTGAGCTCCCCCCGCTGAAGGCTCCCGTCAGGGCGCTGCCCATGACATGCCCTACAGCCGAGCCCACGGCGACCCCAGCGGCCGTGGACGCCATCTGCGCCATCAAGCCCGGCTGGCCCGACGGGGCGGGAGCCGGCGCGGCGGCCGAGGGCGGAGGGTGGGCGGGCGGGTGGGCAGCAGGTGCGGCAGGGCGGCTGCGGGGTGGAGGAGTCGCAGGGTTAATCCTGGCCGGACCCCAGGCCAGCGGCCCGAGGGGCCAGCAGCCCCTGGACCTGCCCCCCTTTCCTCCTCCGGAGGGCGGGTGACCACCGTCTTAGACACGTGGTTGTGGCATTCCCTTACCCCCACCCCACCCCGCACCCCGCACCCCCGCTAAGATGGCGCAGTCGTCCCCAAGGTCACGCATGGCGCCCTTGGAGAGCGCGCGCTTCCCCCGCCTCCTCCACGAGGGGCCCCTGTCCCGCTCCCACCTGGCCGGCCGGGCGGCCACGCTGCGGCTCCCTCGGGGCATGGTCGTGGCGGTGGGACTCGGCCGAGCGGACCAGAGACCGCAACGCTGGTGGCGATTCTGTCCCCGCGACCGACGCGACACCGCTTGTCACTGCGGCGCAAGGGGCGGGGCCTCGGGGACACGCCCCCGGGGGCGGGGCGGCACCTCGCTCCCCCGGGGCCCGGGGACAGGAGCCAAAGTCGCCGAGCGCAGAGGGGTTCGCGGGGCGATCGCGGGGCGCAGGGGATGGAGTTGGGTGCCGTCCGGTGCTCCGAGGCTGAGGACGCAGAGAGGCGACGGGTGGAGGCCCGCCTGGGAGGGGGCCGGGGGCGCCAGCCGGGCTGTGCTCCCCCGCTCCTATCAGACAGGGTTTGCGGACTTCTGTGTGGTCTCCGGGGCGCGGGCGCGGGGGTTGGGGGTCGGACTAGAGCGGAGAAGAGGTGCCCGGTGGAAGGCCTGCCGGGACCCGAATCCAGAAACCCCGCCAGGGGGCGTCTGGAACCCGTCTTCGACTCCTTCCTGGCCAAAATGCGCTGCAGGCACTGGGCAGCCTAGGACAGCCCTGGGGTGCGATGAGGCCCCCCGCGTGGCCCTCCACCCACCTGCCCCCCTGCCCCCACGAATGCAACGCGGGACGCTGACAGCGACATTCCAACCGCGTGCCCATCCCAAAGGCTGTGCTGAGTGTCTAGAGGCAGTTGCACCTGTTTGGATCCTGAGCCTCAGGATTTTACCACCTTGGTCCCAGGCGGGGGTGGGGGAAGCGAGGCAGGGCGGGGAGTGGGGATTTAGGATGCTTCCCAGCCCCTCGGGGACTCCAGGTTTTATGGTCTTTTCTGAGTGACTTTGCAGTGGTCATATTATTGCCCTGGAAAGAGGAGCTGACTTTTTCTTTTAATATATTTTTATTGATTTCAAAGAGGAAGGGAGAGGGAGAGAGCGACAGAAACATCAATGATGAGAGAGAATCATGGATCAGCTGCCTCCTGCTCGTCCCCTACTGGGGATCCAGCCTGAAACCATGTGCCCTAGCCTGGAATTGAACCTGGGATGCTCTATCCACTGAGCCAAACCAGCCAAGTCAGCAGAGCTGACTTCTTTACTGCACACATACACACCTATCACTCTTCCTTGTGCCCTGGTATCGGAAACTGAGGCCTGGGGACATAAGGATTGTGAGGAGGATGAACTCACCCAGAGCCAAAGCATTGGGGGGTGGGGAGAGGAAGGTTGATACAAGTGGGAAAGGAGACCCCCTCTGGGAGGAGGAGGGAGGGAAGATGCCTGGCATTTTCAGTTACTTCTAGACCCCATATACCTGCAAGTCATATGCACTACTGTGTTCTTACCTCTCAGCCAGCCTGTGGAGCAGGGCCCTCCCCGGACCCCTGTCTGGGCCTGGGCCTCAGTTTTCTCCTCTCTTAAGTGGGGTTGACCACCCACTTCAAGGTGAGTGAGCATGTGAGGGGTGGGCCATTTAATCCTCACAGACATGCCAGTCCTGGTCCACCCTCTACCCCTTTGCTCATGCAGTCCCTGCCCACCTGTTCGAATATGCCACATTGGCCCATCCTTCTAGGCTTATCGGGTCCTCCTCTGGCAGGAAGCCCTCAGCGACCAGCCCACCTTACTTGTAACCATGGCCCTCCTCCCTGGGCCTGCCCTGCAGGTGGCTGCTGCTTCCGCTCTCATGAATGGCGGACTCCAGGGTCCCCAAAGGACGGTCATGCAGCCCTGGAGACCACTTAATAAACGTTTTTATTGAAACAGTTATCTTTTCATGTATATCAGGGAAATGTATAATGATCTCCCCAAATCCATGATTTCTTGACCCATATTGCTAAGAAGGAGGCTGAAGCAGGTATTTCAATTTTTAAAAGTGAGTCACTTTAAACAAAAAGGTTAGGTAATAAAACTCACTGCTGTCAGCCATCTCCTCGCCCTCTAGGCGTCGCTGTGGAGCCTTCCTGGGGAAGCTGGGAAGGCTCCCTGGGGGACTGGGACCAGGACCGAGGGTTGAATCAACCGGACTGCCCTCTGCTCCCTCCCAGCCTCCTTCCCTTCGCAGGCCTAGGCTGGGTGCCCACAGCCTCACCTTGTGACACTCAGGACCCTGCCCACCAGGACAAAAGCCACTGCCTGCTTTCTGGCTCGGCAGTGTTGCCCGTGATGGAGCAGATTGCCTGGTAAGATGGTTAAGGCCCTCCCTGGTCACCACAGGGAGCGTAAGACTGGCCAACCCCTTCCAGCGTGTGGACACCACCCCCTGCTTTAGGTCTCAGGAGCCCCAAGAACCTGCTGGTCCACCCCCAGGGCCCCACTCTCCCCTACCAGCACCCTCCCTCCCACTGACCAGCTAGAGCAGGGATTCTCAATCTTCCTAAGGCCGCGACCCTTTAATACAGTTCCTCATGTTGTGGTGACCCCCAACCATAAAATTATTTTCGTTGCTACTTCATAACTGTGATGCTGCTACTGTTATGAATCGTCATGAAAATATCTGATATGCAGGATGTATTTTCATTGTTACAAATTGAACATAATTAAAGCATAGTGATTAATCACAAAAACAATATGTAATTACAGATGTGTTTTCCGATGGTCTTAGGCGACCCCTGTGAAAGAGTCCTTCGATCCCCCCCCCAAGGGGTCGCGACCCACAGGTTGAGAACCGCTGAGCTAGAGGAACCCCTGCTCACACTCCATTGCCTGCTGGTATGGAGAAGCCCGTGTGGCCCCTCCCTCTTGGGACCTTCGTTTCCCCATCGATATAAATTGTCTGGGTCCCAAGCTGGGGGGCCGGCCGGTCTCCATATGCCTCAGTTTCCCCTGGGACACATTTTCCTATTCCTTTTCCCAGCAAGGCTCTGGGGAGTGACTTGCCCATGGGTATAACCACCTGTCGTAGGCTAGCAGATCAGAGGCCAGGCCCTACCAGGGAGACCAGCTGGGGATGCGCCTTCCGAAGATGGGGGTAGGGACCAGGAGGAGGGAACGGCGCCTTCTCTCGGACTCCCCACCGCACATGGGGGAAACTGAGGCCCAGACCCCGGGCCGGGGTCACCCAGCACCAGGCCTCAGACCACAGGCTCGGCCCGCCCCTGGTGAGTCTGGGGTCTCCGGGGCC